AAATTAAAGTGGAACAGAGGATTTTTTTGACACAATCAATTTTCACCCGATACCTATTTTGTTTAAATATTCAAAATTTGCTTTTTAAAATTCGGTTAAGCTGTTTTTAAAGAATGAGGATTATTTGGTGTAACCTAAGGACAAACTTATAACAAAAGAGTGAATAATGAAAAATGTTGACAGCGGTATAAAAAGTTAAAGCTTAATTAGCTAAGCAATTATTTGTATTCCTGAAGTTAATCAAAATGAGTTGATTTCTACTCCGTCGTTTTACAAAGAGATGTATACAGGATTCAAATACTATAATCAGTGGAATTGAAAGAGTCTTATTTCACGTGATCAAGAATAAAGTTAATTTTTATTGATTGATAACGAATGTACTTCAGTTAATTATAATTGGGTTTTGCCATCATAATGTTCAAAATTTTAGATAGTCCTTGTCGGGTAACTTAAGAATTTTGCTCTGAGCAGAGCGTTTGGCCGTATTTCGGGACGGAAGAGTAATACACCAGTTAAACACTGCTCCATGACGATTCAATTGTTAGCAAAGACTAAGAAATGGTTTGGGAAAAAAACTATCTTGAACAAGCAAACAATAAAAATTAATACTTCCATTGCCAATGATTTAAAATGGTAGTATTGACAACGTATGCTAAAACGTGTTATTTCTTTACAGGTTTACAGAATTACGCGAACGACAAGAAATACCACAATAGAAAACCTTCATAAACATTAAAATATTAAAACTGCCACCGTCCTTAACAGGAACTTACAGCTAACTTCTTTGTCTGTGTTATTGATTATTTTTACTTGCCAAACCTGTGGTAAGTGCTCTCTTTTTTGTATAAATGCATTCAGATAAGGAAAATATTTATGACTACTCTCCCGATCATTGCAGCATTTTGCTTTTTCCAATTTGATATCTTAAAATTTTTCTCTTTACGACACCACAGGTTTGGTATCCTTACAAAAACGATTACTGTTACTCTTCACGAAGAACAACAACAAGCTTAGACATAAGCGATGTAAGGAATATAAACATTGTTTTCATACAAGGAGGTAATTATTATTGACCCATAATTTATTCTAAGAGATGCTTTTGCATTCCTTGAAAATAATTATGGGTTAAAAACAATGTTAAAAAAATATATTTGCATATCCAATCTGGTTTTGAAAATATACAGAGAAAAAATACAAACATTTAAAACAAATTTAAAAAGAAGAAACACGAAGAAGGTACGTAAACAGAAGGTAAGTCTGTAATTTTCTTAAGCCCTGGGGACTAAGTGCTCCGCCCAAGGGGGGAGAGCCCTGGGGACTAAGTGCTCCGCCCAAGGGGGGAGAGCCCTGGGGACTAAGTGCTCCGCCCAAGGGGGGAGAGCCCTGGGGACTAAGTGCTCCGCCCAAGGGGGGAGAGCCCTGGGGACTAGGTGCTCCGCCCAAGGGGGGAGAGCCCTGGGGACTAGGTGCTCCGCCCAAGGGGGGAGAGCCCTGGGGACTAGGTGCTCCGCCCAAGGGGGGAGAGCCCTGGGGACTAGGTGCTCCGCCCAAGGGGGGAGAGCCCTGGGGACTAGGTGCTCCGCCCAAGGGGGGAGAGCCCTGGGGACTAGGTGCTCCGCCCAAGGGGGGAGAGCCCTGGGGACTAGGTGCTCCGCCCAAGGGGGGAGAGCCCTGGGGACTAGGTGCTCCGCCCAAGGGGGGAGAGCCCTGGGGACTAGGTGCTCCGCCCAAGGGGGGAGAGCCCTGGGGACTAGGTGCTCCGCCCAAGGGGGGAGAGCCCTGGGGACTAGGTGCTCCGCCCAAGGGGGGAGAGCCCTGGGGACTAGGTGCTCCGCCCAAGGGGGGAGAGCCCTGGGGACTAGGTGCTCCGCCCAAGGGGGGAGAGCCCTGGGGACTAGGTGCTCCGCCCAAGGGGGGAGAGCCCTGGGGACTAGGTGCTCCGCCCAAGGGGGGAGAGCCCTGGGGACTAGGTGCTCCGCCCAAGGGGGGAGAGCCCTGGGGACTAGGTGCTCCGCCCAAGGGGGGAGAGCCCTGGGGACTAGGTGCTCCGCCCAAGGGGGGAGAGCCCTGGGGACTAGGTGCTCCGCCCAAGGGGGGAGAGCCCTGGGGACTAGGTGCTCCGCCCAAGGGGGGAGAGCCCTGGGGACTAGGTGCTCCGCCCAAGGGGGGAGAGCCCTGGGGACTAGGTGCTCCGCCCAAGGGGGGAGAGCCCTGGGGACTAGGTGCTCCGCCCAAGGGGGGAGAGCCCTGGGGACTAGGTGCTCCGCCCAAGGGGGGAGAGCCCTGGGGACTAGGTGCTCCGCCCATGTGTGAAACGTGGATAATGAAAATACTAACTTATTAATGACTAGACCGGGAACTAGGGATGGGTGGGATGGGCCACTTAATAGTACAGTGAGTAAACAATAGTGCTCTTTCAGGAGTCTGTAGCCTCATATAGGCACCTAGTGTCCTATATTTTTTGCATAGAATGATTGAATAGCCAGAAAAATCCATGCCTCTCCTCCTTTTTTTTTGTCGTAGAATATGTCCAACATAAAATAAAATGGCAAAGTAATGCCCTCTATTTGTGAGAGAGAATTTGCACTATATGACACATGTTTTGACAGACTTATACGGGTAGAGTATTTCAAGTTGATTATTAGCTTTCATGTGCTAAATACTTAATCTACGAGTTAGGCAGAGGCGCCCTCTTTGTCAAATTTATGACGAGTTTTATCTTATGTCATTTCAGCGCATACTTAGTACGCTTAAGAAACGCGCGAATACCCAGGAAGTACATATTACGCGCTTTAATTAAGCCCATGCAGTTCCAAATACTAAAACTTCAAGGAAAAAAGGTGAGATGAAGAATTTCATATGCAGAAAAGGGCTCGCAAACGTGGCAGCTGAAAGTGGAGAGGAGTGAAGTCGAAAGAACCGCAAGTGGTGATATGATCAGACAATATTGCCCAGAAACTTAAATATCCTGGATTTGCGCGCCAAGAATGTGAAAACCGAAACACTTGGTTGAAACATGAAAGCGGCAGGAAATAGAGCTAAAATAATTTCGTTGCGACTCATTGATCTTAGGTCACAGGCGAGTAAGCGCTTTTTTCTTAGGTTATGTTAACACTTCAAGTATACCGGATAGGTTTTGTGCAGGCACGAGAACTGTACTGGATATGGCTTCTGTTCAAACACAAGAACGGTGATTTCGGTTAGAGTTTCTGTAATGCAACGAAGCTGCGCCTTGTCTTAAGTGGAGGGTCACATGTCGCATAACATTTGACTTTATCTTTAAAGGATTCAACTCGCATTTTATTCATGAGATAAAGACAAAAGACTATGACGTCATGGGAGTAAATGTATTCCATTTCAAACTAATGAGATTCTGCTTCAGAAAAGGGGTTTAACACATCCCTATACTACTCCACTGGTTAAGTAAGATATTTGGAGTTCACTGAACACGAAGAGAAAAGTAAATAAATGGAAGAATAAACTCCCTCAAACTGTCACGGTTACAGCGACAGGATATTTATTTACTTTTTTAATTGCTTACAAGACAATCAATTTCTTCCTAAAAGTACCACAGTTACCGCAAAGCAGAGGAATCAAGAATCACTTGTATCAGGCAACAATAGATGAAAATAAAACATAGATGAAATAAATGAAAATAACAGCTATTTTAATGTTGGTTACGCAGATGCCAGTGACAGCCATGGAGGTTTCAGAAACTGTGAGGTAGAGCACAGAATGTGTTTGTATTAACCAGGTGTCCGTATTACAAGAGAGGTTTGATATTAAAGTCAAAAATACACTTTTTGAAACAAACTACGAAAAAAGAGAGAACGTGCCATTAGCATCTTCAAACTAAACATTTCTTTTTCTTCTATTCATTTCCCTCGTTCATCAATCAGGAGCTAGTCTAACATTCTTTCATTCTAGTCACTCCACATTTCTGTTTGCCACCACCGCTGCCATATTTTTATTTCTTCACCACCACACCTCTGTTGTTCCCATCCAACTGCCATTATGGCTTTACAAACCCTGAAAAATGTATTGCGCCAGGAAAAGAATATCTACAGAATATGATAAAACTGAATAAAATAATTGCACTTATTGTTTTTGCATTCCAAATGAGAGAGTCAAATGAGAAGTTTCAGAACACTTATTTACTGATGAGTAAAGTAATGACCTGTAATCAGTAGAGAATCCGGAATGAACATACTTTCAAATAATAATAATAATAATAATAATAATAATAATAATAATAGTAATAATAATAATATTTATCCAGGGAGCCCACTCGCCTTAGCGGGTTTTCAGTGGGGCCCTGCAGAAAGATAAATCCTACTGAATGAGATGTTCTCCTCAGCTACTTTATACCATTGGAAATGAAAAGAAATGAAAGTATACAACATATTAGCTTTTACAGCCTTATTAGAGTTTTTATTAGAGATTATTATTTTGCATTTGAACAAGCCACAGGACTACAATACTCCAGACCACTGACTAACATGTCACTCTAGAATAAAACAGAGATATGCCACACTGTACTTCCATATGTCAACCATTGGGGGAGGTCCTGGTACTATTATTTGAGGGCTCCAAACTTATGCCATATGTTGGAACTATTTCACAGCCAATCATTTCTAGCATTTCTTACCGATCAACATTATTTTCTGTGAGTCTAAATGGCACATAGAACTTCAGTCTTAACTTTTTTTTTTTAAGTTCAAAGCACATTATCATAATATGATAACACGACACTAGCCTGTTTGTAAATGGTGTCACTGGTTTGCAATAGTCATCTTCTGCATCTTGCTCGACTCTGGTACCAAACAGGATTCTATGTTGAACATGAAAGCACAATAGCGGATCCAGGGGAGGGCCCTGGGGGGCCCAGCTCCCCCTTATTTTTAGTCTAAACTGAGGCCTATGGGGCCGAAAAATTTTTTTAGGAGACCAGGCCCCCCTTATCTCAAGGTCTGGATCCGGTACTGAAGTATGATGTCTCATGATTATTATACATGCAATCTACAAGTGAGTGAACAAGACACAAGTGTGCTCTGTCTCCAGTTCTGGTAAGCCTTGACGCAAGTGACTGAAAAGGGACTGTTTGCAATTTAGTACTGCCTAGGTACTGAGTGTTTTTGCCGTTTCAGTTTTCACTCACTCCTCTTTCAATGAAACTCTTCTATATTTGATAAAATGTAGACGCTGCTGGCAGGTGATGAGTGAACAGCTTCCTCATCTCCAGAGTCAAGCAACTTGGTGTTTATTTGGCCCAGGCCTCTGCATCAGCCTCACGTGCTCCACTGTAACCACCTATCTCTGCTGTTTTGTAAAAGGCTGAAAAGAGAAAATAGAAAAATGAAAGATTACACATCACAGTGAGTGGTGTGTGAGGAGAACAACATTAATGTTTTCCTAGCTCTTATGATAAAGGATATTCAGTGAGGTAGCCAAAAAGTCAAATGAACCTCTCCAACAACTTGGTTCATACCCAAGACACAGAGTGGATATGATTCTGAACCAAGACCATGAACCAAGGCAACCAAGACCACGCTGTATGTTACTTAGTTGAGTTTGATGAGGACTCATAAACCATAATGCTCACCAAATCTACCAAACACCCCTTGATGGTGCTAGACTCTGTAGTCATTCTTTCTTATAGGTGGAGTCCCCATATTTACCTTCTAGTATGGATGGGTAATTTTCATTCATCCACTTTCTATAATCTGTAACATGCAAAGAAAACAAATTATCAGGATCTCTAAACCATAAAAGGAATATCAAAAGGCTAATCAGGGATGGGTCCATGATATAAACAGGGAGAAGGGAGGGAGGGAGGGACGAGCCACCTGATGTAAAGATGCAGCATCTGAGGTACGAAGAGAAAAGCAAATCTGGTTTACTGTGCTTTTCATAAAGATGCAAATTCTGAAGTTCAAGGGTGGCGCAGTGGTGAGAGCGCTCGCCTCCCACCAATGTGGCCCGGGTTTGAATCGTGGTGTCGACGCCATATGGGGCTTGAGTTTGTTGTTGGTTCTCTCCCTTGCTCCGAGAGGTTTTTCTCCGGGTAGTCCGGTTTTCCCCTCTCCTTAAAAACCAACACTTTCAAATTCCAATTCGATCTGGAACGCACGGACACGTTTCAACGAGTTCTTATGAACTCCTTAGTGATCCGTGGGTAAACAAATTACAATTTACAATTTTTTTTTTTTACAATTTTTACAATTTGTACAAATTTACAAAATTTACAACTGACGTTTGTTTTTTTCACTGCTGTTGATCACCTTAGCGGACCCCTTAGGACACAAAAGTTTACTTCAAGGGGTTCAACAGGTCATGGTTTGTGATTTGAGATTGGTGGATTTTGATCCATTTGTGTGTTTCTGTGTTTCAAAGTTTGTTGCTTGTGATCATAATTACATTGTATGATTGACGGCGGCAAAAAACGTAATTGTGAGTGTCAGAGTTTGCATGTTTTTGAAAAGCGCAGTACGGAGAAGATGCATGGAACCTGACTGAGAAACCCTGTTTTATAAGTGGTATGACTCAGGCTAGGGTTAGGGTTAAGGTGGCTCACTGACTCATTTGAAACCTTCATTGGGGGTTTTACATGTCACAATAGCTGCTAGTTGACATATGAAGTGCTGTGTGTGGGTACATATAAAGGCAAGAAGGGTTCACCATTCACTTTAGCCCCAGGGACATACTTTCACTTGCATAAAAGTGAATGCACCAGTCATACCCGAGAAGGGAAGTGTGTGTGTGTGTGGGGTGGGGTGGGGGGGGGGGGGGGGGGGTGGGGGGGGGGTCCAAGGGTTTCAAATGACTGGTGCATTGTGGATTTCGCTGGGATAAAAGGTTTTTCGTGAGAAAAGGTAGCATTTCCTTTTCTCCGTAGCATGGGCTCGCTACAAAATTCATCAATTTTCATGATCAACCAGTAAGGGAATACTGCGGCCGGCCATGCAGGGACGACTGCCACAACTTCTCAGAGTTTTGTGTATTGACCAACGCTTTTCAGATCATTGTTACAAGCATTACCCGTACCTCTGCTAGTGTTCATCTGATGCCAAACTCTGTACGCTCCCAAACAGAGAACCACTTCCCCAACTATCGCAGCTTTGACGAATTTTCGAAAATTAGTCTGTCCAAACATGACGACTGAAAACAGTAAAAATTGTATAGGCGTTCTCAACGAGACAGAAGCATGAGTGCGAGGAGATCTGGGATCTACTTACGTGTCGTCTGCGATTGACTGCAGGCTCAATCGTCAAAATGGCGACTTTCTGTTCGAAATTCACTAGACCAAGATGATAGCGATTTTCCGTTTTGCTCTTTATAGATGACGGCTCTTATGAGGATTGCAAGTTAAAAAGCGTTACAAAGCGTAAATTTTGAAACTTCGAAGAAGAGATCAAGCACGTTAAGTATGGATAATTCCCAACTGTTGCATTCCTACAACAGTGCGGCCACAGCAACTGCACCGACTATAGGAACAGACAGACTGCTCAGATATTTACCTAAAAAACAAACAGAGCTTCGGCAAGTTGCCATTGATATTCCAGAAACAGGAAGCCTGACTGGAAATCAAGATGCTTTGAAGGATGAAGGAGGTTAGTTTTATCAAAGGTGTTCAGAATCAAAAGCCAACAGTCTCTTGCAATTGTACATAAAATTATGCATATCCGTAGCCTGAGAAACAGCTGTTTCTCCTCACTCCTCGCCGCTTGGGACGTTTCACCTGGAGAGACATCTGCGCCTTCTGGACAGAAATTTCATGCTGATGATGTAAAATTAGACTATGAGCAGTCTCTCTTTTTCTTTGGATTTAGTGCGGAGAGTGCACGTGCAAAGCTGCAAGACGCAAGAAATGAGGGCAGCAACTCAAAAAGTCTCTCCCATCTCATGCCTTCAGTCATGCGTGTGGTCATTTGTGTGTCTTGCACGTCTCGCTAATGAACTAAGAAAAAAGAGAGACTGCTCATAGTCCAACATAAAATCTGTCTGAAATCTAGTCAGGAGCTCTGATTGGTTGACATAGTAGTTATATTGTTTTAGCTTCTCTTTACAAATGACAGACAAAAGACAAAATTCCACAAAGGTCTAATGTAAGCGCGATGAATCAAAAACAAAACAGTCAATATTTGTGGAATATATTCTTCTCTAGAAGAAGCATTTGAGTTTTGCTAGAGCTCGTTTTTGCAGGCCGCAAAACTTTACCAAAATTGACCTGGAGAAACATAAAATCAAACAAATCCATGACTACCAGATGAATTTTGTTTAACGTTAATTTGCATTGTCAGTATGGAATGTCTTTCGCTGAAATACAAACGTCTCTCCTGGTGAAGCATCTCTAGTGGTGACGAGTGAGGAGAAACAACTGTTTACGCGGGCTAACATATGCATTATTGACCTAGAAGAGTGAGGTCAAGATAATTGGATATAGGCCAGGTTCTTTTTCACATTGATTTGATTGGCTTCATCTTGCCAGCTCACGGATACAGCTACATAATAAAAGTCCATCTTATATAGAGTATATTAATATAGTATATACATATAAGTATATTTAGACCAGTACGTGAACTACTCAAATCCTGAGTGCATGGTGTTTAATACAAGCCTGTTTCGTAGGCCACCGAAAAGGTGAGCCACTCTTCAGTTAAACTCCATTATAACACTGAAGCGTCAGGGTCTACATCAAGAAAAGTGATCGCGTGATAAAAACGGTTGCATATAGCGTTTGAAATTTAAATTTTTAAGAAATTCTAGAATGAAAAGCGCTTGCTTGCTCTCAATCGCCTACAACTCTTATACGAAACCTAAGTATAATTATATGCACGAAAGAATTTTTAAATGCCAGTTACTTTGGGATTACACTACTCTCAAAAACATGTAATAATATGTTCAAAAATCACCAATCTCCTGTGATTCAAACAAGTACTTTTTTGGATTGGTTCCATTTTGAAGAGATGCGTTAATACCACTAAGCACTGTAAATTTCAGCCCGTAATAGCTAGTTTAACACCACATACAAAACATGTGTACAGACAGACTCTTTCATTGAATGGGACTTGGCCAAATGCTTTATGTATTCTACCGACTGCAACCAATTTATTGACAAGCAAAAGCAAAATATACAACAATAGACTGATTGAACTAAAAACTAAGAGAACTGATTTGATAAACAGTGCAGCAACATCCATTTCATTACAAAATAGGGATCAAAATTCCATAAAGGTGCAGGTCTTGACATATAAAAATTCTAGAACTGTTCAAGATAGAAGAAACTGATGATACACAACTCACTTTGACTATGAAGATTTTTACTGCATAGGTTGTTGAAAGGCTAGTAACCAGGAACCTACTTTAGACATGACTCTTCACAATATATTAATCAAACAATGAAAGGTGTATATTATTGATAAAAAAATTAATTATTTTCATTACTAGAATAAATGAAATAATGTTGCTTTATGTACTTGTTAACAGCAAATAGTTTAAGAATGAGAGGAACAATGAACGATAATGACAGATCCACTCTATCAGTAAGTAACTGGTCAAGTTTTTTTTTTTAGCTTTGGCTTGCATTAAATTATTTCAGTTATTTTCTAAGTTTTTATGGGAGTTTATATTGTCACATTGAAATTCTGTTTACCTTAAACTGGCCTCTTTACCAAACTCCATTTCTTGCAATATTTAGTTGAACCACTCACAAGCAGACTCTCTAGATGCAGAAAAAGTGTCTGGCACTTCAAGGAGAGAGGTCCCCGTCTCAGGGAGGTTTAAATAAAAAACAGTATTTATCTGTGGTTGGGACCATGACTGAGTGTTCACTTGTGAAAGATGTCTGCCTAAGGGAGATTTAAAACACAGTGTTTGTATGTGGATGGGACCATAACTGAGTGTCTCCTTACAGCTGTATAACAGGTATTCACCTAAGGGAGGTTTAAAATGCAGTGTTTTTATGTGATTGGGCCACAGCTGAGAGTCTTCTTATGAGAGGTTTCTGCCCAAGGGAGATTTATAACATCGTGTTTGTATGTGGATGGGACCATAACTGAGTGTCTTTTTTAAGATTCTTAGTTGTTGTTCACCTATGTCAGGTGTCTGTTTGCAGGAGTTCGCATGTCTTTGGTGGCTCTTCGCCACACACTTTTGCCCTGAAGGTCTAGGTGAACCTCAACCCAGTTTCTATAGCATGAAATGCTTGAAGCATTGCTCATCCTCCCCCACCCCCACCCTTAAACTGGGTTGCCAGTCCCCAGCAGTATTCAACTGTCAGATATCCATTTATACACCCTGTAAACCATAAAGAGAGACAGTGGAGAAAACTCTCTTGTCTAAGGAAACAATGTGACCAGCAAGGCATCAACTGCTTGGCCACCATCCTTCCATGATGATATTTCACTCGGGCAAGAGGGAAATCTGAGCTTTTTAACAAGAAATTATGGAATGGTGGACACCTTGAGGTTTAACCCTTTGCCTCCACCCTCCCTTCTTAGACCACAGCCTTGGTTGAAGAGAAAAAAAGCTATAACATTAAGCAATAACAAGGTAATGATAATATATGTATTAAATTTTTATCCTTTTCAGAGTGCTATAAAGCCTTTTCCACAAAGATCTTACCCAATCATGAAGAGAGTTAAGAGGGAACTTCAGAGTGTCCTTGCAGAGCGACAGGTAAGAAGACTACTTTAAGTTATCAAACAAGAAAATAGTGGAGTAGCTTTTAGTTCTATTAGTATGGAAGCTTTCATTTTTGGAGGTTTAGCCCAGCTATTATTTCTTTGAAAAATGTAATTCTTGTTTTACAGGATCCTCACATGTTGTTTATATCCAAAACCAACACACAAATGGATGTGAAGCTTGAACAATAAACAAGATACAGTCTGCACTTAAGAGTTTTTTTATGAACAATCCAAACTTACCCCTTTGTTTGTTTGTTTTTCAGGGCTGGAAAATATTTTGGCTGATCATTTTGAATTTACTCTGCTCTTTTGGACTTTTTGTATACAGTGGATCAACAAACAGCTTAGGTAACAGAAAAAAGTTGCATCAATGACTCTTACGAACAGAAGGGTAACTGGTACACTATAAATTATTACATGTACATGTTGGCCAGCACATTAACCATGAGCTCATATTTTTTTCAGCTCTCACATCATTTAGTTACTTGACAATATTTGATCTATTAAGGTATGTTCTTTCTTGAAATCTCTACTGTCAAAGAACTTCATTTTTTGGTTAATGAAACTTTAATTTTACTAACAGATTCCTTGCTATGAGCTAACCATAATTCTTTCTTTTTATTTACAGTCTTTTTACATGTCTTTTATCTCTGTGGGTGTCACTTCAAAAACCTTCCTCCTCCTTTTCTTTTGGGTGAGGAATTTTGTTATAATTTATTGTCATTGCATTTACCAAATATTATAAATATAAAAATCCAACATGTCTAAGAAAACATTACTCACAGTTCAATAACTTATTAATGATTCATAAGAAAAAACAAAATAAATTAATGTTTAATGAGTGTCGTTATATCTGATAAAGACGCGGCTAAACTTTACGTCCAATTTTTTAGACCAAAATAACCCCAAGTGTAAATATTAGTGCAAGAATGAGTTGATGTATATCAGAGATTTTGAAGCCGTTCAAAAAACTCGCAGTTGTGTATTATCAGGTGTAAAAACTCTTGGCTTCGCCACGAGTTTTTAAACGGGATAGTAAACTCCTGCTCATTTTTAAACAGTACACGCATGACTTGTTGTATGTTGTTTGCAAAAATGAATACTTTTTGAAAAAAGTCACAAAAATGTACATGTAAAGAAAATAAATTGACAAAACACAGGTGATAGTGTGTTAATATTGTTTTTCCTTGCTTAGGTATCAGAGATATGAAGTACTGGCTGTGTTTACTAGTACTGTTCTTGTTATGTTTGGAGCACTTTTTATTGTGAAAGAAAGGTAACACATCTAAATGTACTTTTTTGCCATCATACATGGAGATTTTATTGAAAACTACCTTTTGATATAACTAAATCTCCTCTGAAAATTTGAGCATTCTCCTTTTTTGTTATTATTATTTTTTGCAATATTTTTGGCATGAAGTTGTACTATGTATAATTATTACCACTCAGCTTAGTCCTTTTCTTGATCACACATGGCATGAACCATAACATAGAAGGTTTTTGCGT